GAATCATATGTAACTACTTTGAAAAGCTGGCCTGGTATCAACAAAGGGAATGTGTATCTGAATATTGCTGGAATTAAGAGACACCACAGTGTCATACCTAGTTTGAGCCATGCTTTGTCATTGTTTTTATGCCTGATACACTTTTCTACAATGACTGCTGTAAAGCTGACCAACTCAGTGTTGCTGAATCCTCTGCCTGAAATCATAATAGCTCTTCCATTCTTTTTTATGGACATCTTCAAAGGCAGAATCTTGCAAAAGCAACAATTTTCAGCCTGGCATGTCTTCAAAGCCTTTGAATTTAGCTGCAAATTTCCAGATTAGTTTCCTTCATTCACTATGCTTCTACTTTGAAGGAATGCTTTGCTTCACCTGGTTGATGAATCCCTAAAGCCGTTTTTATGGAAAAGAAGCAACAATGAAGGCACAAGAGAGTATCCAGCCAACCACTGCTCCTAGGGAGCCTAAAAGAATAAACAGCTAATGTAGATAACACATGTAACTTACCCTTAAACTTAATGGTGCCATGATAAGAAGTCTTTCTTTTAAAACACATGTCTTACAATACCATATGAAGAAATTTACAAATGTGAACTACAGGTTTACTGAGAACTGCTCTATTTTGCAATTTTTGTTTTCATTCTGAAGCACAGATGATCCTCCTTGAGAATTTATCAATGCCTCTCTGTTCTAGAGTCTCTCCAGCAACACCAGCAAAAGTAGAGAATAATACCCTTTCCATTCTTTTGAATCTGACAGTTGCCTGAAATTGCCTTCCCCCATCCACCTCACCAGCACTGTCATCTTTGGCACCTGTGACTGTAATAACTGTGTTCTTTCCTTCTTAAGTATCTTCAAGCTTCATCTCCTTTTAACAGTTAATTAAAAGAAATTGCCTGTTTTTAATTGTAATTTAAAAATTTCCTTAGCTATTGGTATGTATTTGTTGTGCTACATGGTAAACATAATGCTTATTATGCAGGCAAACTACATGTGCTATTATATTCGAAAGCAACTGAGAGTTAGCAACTGTATGAACTGGTGATTAGGATGCCATTTTTTAAGGATTGTGCATACCAACACAATAGTTTATTACTTATATTTGGCATTTTACTTTATTTTAAATACATTTCAGGAATTCTGCGATTGATGTGTAATACATTTTATTTTTTTCCCTGTTAAAAATAGGCCCCCATTTAGCATTTTCCTGCTGACCATCAGATTTTCAGGGATGGATTATTAAAATTCCTGTAATTTAAAATTCCTATTCCTGTAATTTTTGTGGATAAGTTTTATGCTGTGTTTCTGATCCTGTCATATTTTGAATTGGAAATTATTTTTTTAAAGATTTTTATTTATTCATGAGAGACAGAGAGAGAGAGAGAGAGAGGGGCAGAGGGAGAAGCAGGCTCCCAAGGAGCAGGGAGCCCGATGCAGGTCTCGATCCCAGGACACTGGGATCATGACCTGAGCCGAAGGCAGACGCTTAACCATCTGAGCCACCCAGGCGCCCCTGAATTGGAAATTAAAAAAAAATTGTGATTATCTTTTTCCTGTGCCACCATTGCAGATGGGGTATGTGAAGCCGGGAGATACCTGATCAGGAGAGCTGTACTTGTTCCTGGGAAAGATCCTGGACTTTGAATAGGATGGGGTAACTGCACGGGACTTTAGGTTGGCCCCCTTGGGAAGGGGAGGGTATGTTTATCTGTGGGAAGAACAATGTGCCCAGAAACTTGAGTAGCTACAGTCACAGAACAATGGCAGACACTGCTTGTTGTCCCCCACCCCATATCTGTTCTTTCCATTTTGCTCAGTAATAAACCCTACGTGTTAGCTGGGCATTATCCAACCAATAGAAAAAGCCTCATTTCCCAGCTTCTCTTGCCACTTAGTGTGGCCATGTGACTAAGCTCTGGCCAATGGAATGTAAGAAGTAATTTGCATAGGTTTTCTGGGAAGTTTTTTTTTAAAGAGAGGAAGTGTGTCCTCTCTTCCTCTTTTGCTGGCCTTCCTCACTGTCATGTGGATGTCATGGCTCAAGATGGAGCAGCTATCTTGTAAGTCAGGCTGGAAAGCACAGGTAAATTTGGCAGAACAACTTGTCAGGAGTCTGAGCTCCCTGATGGTTATGGAGCCACTGTCTGAGTCTAGCACTGCTAATGTTTACCTGAGAGAGAGAGAGAGAGGGAGAAGCTTTTATCTTTTTACCACTGTTATATTAGGCTTTTCACCAATGAGCATTCCTCTTTGATTTTCCTTTAACTATCTTATCTTATTTATACTGTCTTCTATTATTATTACACCAGTCATACCCATTATCTTATTTAATCTCCTTGCCTATTTTCATCTCCCCCCTAGAGTGCTAGCTTTATGAAAATAGAAAATTTGCCCCCCCTTTATGTGATATGCTATAATTTTTATTGCAGTGTGGCCATTTTTGTGACAATGGGGAGTTTGGTGTTAAAAATAATGTTCCATTTGAGGTTCTTTTATACAGAAATTGCCAGCATGACTGATATTCAAAATATCTTTAGTGTTGTAAGACTCACATGATAAATAAAACTGTTACCCTTATTCAGTACTGTACACTTAATGGAAAACAAAAAGGCAGCAATAACGGCTGTTTCTTTTAAGAAGAATGAACACTGGGTACCAGGATAAGTTGATGACCCAGTTAACACAACTTAATTGGCAATCCTCTTTGGAGTGGGGCATTAAATTCATCACAAAAAAGTGCTTTCAATGCATGGTGTTATATCCATCCTGCCATGTCATAAATTAGACTTGCCAAGGAAGGTGAGGTGTAAGAATGCTGGAACCTCACAGAACTGCAATCAAGTGCAACTATAAATAATACTGAATAAAGTTTACCCTCTGACAAGTGGATAATACTTTCAGCACATTGAATTAGCTTACCCTTTGCAGTATTCTAAGTTATTCACATTGACAATCCCATTCGTTGTAGTGCTTGCTGCAAGGGAGGCATATAGCTAGTTGTTTTGGCTAAAATATGATGGGAAGGCAGTCCTTGGGTTCTGCATAAAAGTAACAGTTTGAAACAGCCTAATAGCAATCACTGATAGGCTGCTTAAATGAATATTTCTGTCATTCATTGGTTTAGAACGGTCCATTGAGAAGGGGACGAAACAGAACAAAACCTAACACTATTCCTATTGACTGAGATGAAGAAGTGGAAGTTCCCTGACATCCAGATGGCATTTGACTGTCATTTTATAAGGGTTTTCCTTCAAATGAGACTACTCTGTTGCTTCTCAGTTTCTTTCCAAGTGAGGAATAGTCCTTAATATCGTCCATACCATTTATTTCCCACTTATGTTTAATACCTGTAAATTTCTTTTTAATGGCATCTTCAGATATTTTTTATTTATTTATTTGACAGAGAGCCCGCGCACAAGCAGGGAGAGCAGCAGGCAGAGGGAGAGGGAGAAGCAGCCTCCCCGCAGAGCAGGGAGCCTGATGCGGGGCTCCATCCCAGGAATGACCTGAGCCCAAGGCAGACACTTAAATGACTGAGCCACCCAGGCGCCCTTTAATGGTATCTTTAGAGCAAGCATAAATCATTGCCCTTTGTAAAGGTGCACTTTCAGGACCCCATAATTTCAATACCAGGTCTTCTTTCTTAGACTCTTGTTGTGAATGTGGTATCATACAAAGCAAAGTGGCAATCATTCAGAGATAGCAACTTCACAAAAGATGCGTAGGGGTCCTCTACAGTATCATCTGTGTCACCCACCAAGATCTGCTTTGCTTTCTCTACAATTATTTGTTTTGCCCTTGCTTAAACAGAAGAGAACTGCTTTCTTTTTTTGGCTCTCCTCCTGTGTAGATTTCTTTACTTTCATGTCATTAACAACTTTGTTGACATCATCATTTATTAGTAACGCCAGAAACCACAATGCCAGGGGTTGCAGCAGCAGCTCAGGCTTGGTGGGAGTGGGAGGAGAAGGAGGAGCGGGCCAAAACTTTGACTCTCCTGTTCACATCTGAATCTACAGAGTTTAGAACAGTGCTTGGAAAAATAGTATGTGCTCAGTAAAACCTTGTGGAATGAATGAAGGCTAGATTAGAACGGGATTCCTCTAAAGGTAGTAAGCTCCTGCTTTAAGAAACTATAGAATTTAGAATTCCAAAGACACTGGGTTGTTATAGGTGAGGAAACTGACATTTAGAGAGGTTAAATGATTCATAGGTCACACACGTGCGTTGTTATGCTAACTGATGGCCACGCTGACCATCAGGTGTGAGTTCTAAGACCACTGCCCCCTCTATTGTGTGCACCATTTGGCTGATAAGCACTTGTCCTGGATACCGTAGAAAGAACCGCTCAGGAGCCCAGGGTTTGGACAGGATGGTCTACTGCTCTTTCACCACACCGGAAGTGTATAAACTTGCCTAATAGATTTTTCAAGCTTCTCAGACACCACAGAACTTCGAAAGCGTAGCAGTCGGGAGCAGTGCGGTCGCTACCAGCAGGCAGCCTTAGCCATTTATTACCGAGCACTCCAAGGAAGGGGAGCTGGCAGTTCTGAGGAGGACAGTTGTCCAGGCTCTCTTCTGGCCACCGTCTTCCTCTACCAGCTCCCAACAAACACATCTCATCTCCTTCTTCTACTGCCCTCGGTTCTACTTGGCGGGGCTTTGCGATGACAGAGACTGGAGTACAATGTGACCCAAGTCACCTACCATTGCGTACCTGCTGCAGGGCTCGCTCTCCAGCTAGGGGCTGACGTGGGCGGTGTGGAGACAGGCGCGTCCCCGAGCCCCACTCTCAGCCCTTCCGCTCCACGCGCCGCGCCGGGCTCCGGGGGGCGGGCGCGCGCACGCTCCGCCTCTCCCCGCCTCCTCGGTGCGCGCCCCGCCCCCTCGAGCTGCGATACGCCGAGGGCTCAACATCCGAGGACTTTGGCCCAGAGTAACCCTGCTCGCGTGACCTTTCCCCTCCATTCTGCACCTGAAGCGGCGGGCCCCGCGCGCTGGCTGCGGTTGGGCGCTTGTTCTGTTCCCTCCGGCCCGGCTCCCGCCGGCGCTTCGGCGCACCCCCTCGCTGCCCCTCCGCGCGACTCCCCGTCATGGCGGCTCTCAGCAAGTCCATCCCTCATAACTGCTACGAGATCGGCCACACTTGGCACCCTTCCTGCGGGGTCTCCTTCGTGCAGATCACCAGGGGCGCCCTGGAGGAGTCCCTGAAGATCTACGCTCCCCTGTACTTGGTGAGATCCATCAGCTCCTCCCTCGGCTAGTTTAGTGTGGAGGATGGGCCAAGGAGTGCAGTCGTGCTTCCGAGCGGCCTGGGCGACTCGTTCTGTGTCGGGTTCTCATGTGAAGGGACCAGACGGTTTTTTGGGCGGGTGGGCATGGTGGAGGTCAAAAGGGGCGGATATCTCACGTGCTACACTGGGCGGGAGAAGGGGGAGGGGAACTTGAGGTTGAGCTGTCAGCTGAATGCTTGTGGATGAGAAGGGGGTGGGCTCCCAACTTCAAGATTAAGTTAGGATACTTAAAATTGTGAATTAAGGGGACTGCGGTACTTTTCCTCTCTCTTGCATTATGATGGAGAGGAGTTTGTAGGTCAGCGAGGCGAGGAGACATGCCCTGCAGTCTTTCCTCATCTAAGTCCCTCTATAACACCCCTCCATTTTTTTGTTTTTTGTTTAAGGGCATATTTGACAGCAAATCCCTGTGGGCTCAGATCTCTCTTAGTTTGGGATGATAGTATTGTGGTTTGAGGGTTTTGCAAGTGTTCTTGCAGGTTCACAGAGTAGACTTCTGGTTGAGATTTTGGGTGCTGATTTGAAGGATGATTCCAGACTGAGTCAGTGAAGGTGATTAAAAGACCTGACTTTAGGTCACGTAAGCAATTTAAGTTTGGAGTTTTGAGTAGAGAATATTTGTAAATACGTGTATGTATCACTGAGAACTGTTAAAAGAAACGTGTTCTTTTTTTTTTTTTTTTAAGTAGGCTCCATGCTCAAGGTGGGGCTTGAACTCACGACCCTGAGCTCGAGAGTCCCATGCTCTACTAAGCCAGACAGGTGCCCCAAAAGAAGTTTATTCTTAAATAAAACATTCTAAAATGTTCTCACCAGCATCTTTTTTTTTTCAATAACCTTGTCCTTCATACTACTTTGACCATCGAAGTTCATCCTCGCATTTTCTTGCCCAGTAGAGTGTGTGCCCTAAGAAGGGAGAGATCATATATTTTGTATGTTTCCTAAGGGTTTCATTGAATTTTCAATGGATGGTCAGTTCTTACTTCTCACTGAGTAGTAATTTGGATTTGTAGCCTAATATGCCAGAAAGTGTGTTGTAGCCATATTTGTGGTACTTCTTGAAAAGTCTGATTGTTTATTACAGAGAAAACGAAGAAGAACTTGGTAACTTTCTCTGAGCTTGCAGAAATCAGTTTCATTTTTATCCTATAGACCCATGCTTTTCAAACTTAAGACCTCCGCCCCCTCACACCCTGGGATCATGTGAAAATGAGAGTTTCTGATTCAGTAGGTCTGGGTGGGGCCTGAGATTCTGCATTTCTAACAGACTCTCAGGCAATATTGATGCTGTTGGATCAAGAGTCACACTTTGAATAGGAAGGATCTAAAATAGAAGCTAATAATAAAATTATTACTGGAACTGGACAGTTCTCCCTTGATTTTCTTTGGCAAAGATCCATGTTCATCTGATTTTCCACATGAATTGTGGCTAGTCTATAGCTCAGTATTTTTTAAACAGAACATCTACAAACAATATTGAGCTCTTGATGTAGTCAAAAAAATACATAAAGATTGTTCCTGCTCTTAGGGGATTATGATGTAGGTAGGGAGAGAATTTATGCTGTCTAATTTCTCCCTCTGAAAATCCACTGTACTTTTAATATGTCTCATTCATTCATTAAAACTATTTGTTGAGTGCCCGATTTTTGTCATATCTACAGCCTAGACAATTTATGGTTATGTTCCATGATAGAGAAGTTCAAGGGAGCAATAGGAATAGGGGTTCTTCTTTTACAACAGGTAGGGTGGGGCCAGGGGTCAGGAAAAGTTTGCGATTCACTGTTGTATCTCCAACTAAATACTTCTTGAGGATAAATTCTTCATCTTATTTGGCCTTGTGCCCCTTATAGCTGTGTATTTTAGACTTTGGGTTGCTGCTCAAGAGTGGTTGTGAAATAAAACTGAGGGGGGTGCGCCTGGGTGGCCCAGTTGGTTAAGCATCGGACTCTTGGTTTTAACTCAGGTCGTGATTTCAGGGTTGTGAGATCGAGCCCCACGTTTGGCTCTGCACTCAGCACAGAGCTTGAGTTTTTCTCTCCCTCTGCCCCCTCACCATGCTCTCTTTCTCTAAAATAAATAAACCTTAAAAAAATAAAATTAATGGGAACTGACCAAGGTTTTATTTATTTATTTATTTATTTATTTATTTATTTTCTTTTAAGAGAGAGAGTCCTTGAGAGAGCACAGAGGGCAGAGGGAGAGAGAGAATCTAAAGCAGGCTCTGTGCCTGGGCTGATCGCATGACCCTGAGATCAAGACCTGAGCCAAGATCAAGTCAGACGCTTAAATGACTGAGCCATCCAGGCGCCCCCACCAGTGTTTTATTTTAAGTGAAATAGAAGAGAATAGAAAAAATGAGAGTCCATTGCAGGCACTAAGGATAAACATTATTTCATGACAGTTTTGTTTCAGTTATGTTTGTATGTGTGGCTGGGGCTACTTGGAGCAAATTGGAACACTGTACTCTTTGTCAGTGTTGGATAGTTGTTGATTAAATATGTAACCTCCAGTGCCAAGATAAAAGGTGATATGGGAAGAAGTGGGCTTTAAAAGGGATCAAGGACATCTGAATTTGAATCTCAGCTCCATTAGTTACTAGCTGTTTGTCCATGTTACTTTGTCTCTGAGAATTAAGTGAAAGAATGCATTGAAGATGTATCACATATTTTCCTGGCTCAAAGTAGGTCTTGAAGAATTAGGCATTTTTTCTTCCCTCTTACCCCAGTGACATTTAAGTTAGATATAAAGTTCATTGAAGATGGTTAAGACAAGGCTTTTGGGCAGATGTAGCATTTGAGTTGGGCTATGAAGATAAGGAGGGACAGACATTGATTCTTGTAGGAGACATTTGTAGAATACTTATTTATTTTTTTTTTTTAAAGATTTATCTATTTGACAGAGAGAGGGAGACAGTGAGAGAGGGAATACAAGCAGGGGGAGTGGGAGAGGGAGAAGCAGGCTTCCCGCTGAGCAGGGAGCCGGACATGGGGCTCAATCCCAGGACCCTGGGATCATGACCTGAGCTGAAGGGAGACGCCCAACGACTGAGCCACCCAGGCACCCCTAGAACACTTATTCTTAATGGAGACGGGGGAGAATAATGTGAATTGAGCAGAAATCTAAGTGGTTTTGTAAGTGAAGCAGTATGTATATTGGTTGGCTAAAATAGAAGTTTTGTGTACAGGAGTTATGAACTATAACAACTCCTATTTATTGAATACTTAGTAACTTAGACCTTTATGTATTTTATCTTGTTTAATCCTTATACAACTCCGTCTTATCATCCACATTTCATAGGTAAGAAAGCCGAAGGCTAGAGAGATTAAGTGACTTCCCAGATTTAGAACTAGTAAGGGAGAAACAGGATTCAGTTCTAGGTTGTTTTTGTTTTTTGTTTTTTTTTATTCAAACTCGTACTGGAGGTCAGGCTAAAGGAGCCATAGAGATTTTTTTGAGCAAAGGGGTTACAAGTACAAAATGGTGGCTTTTGAGATGATGAATCTGATAGCACTGGGCGGACTGGACTGGAAAGACTATTTAGGAGTTGATGCAGGAGATTCACTAAGGGGTAGAAAGAGCCAGTTCCCATGGAATCCCTCTCTGCAACTTACTTGCAATGTGATTTTAGGAAAATTACTTCACCTCTTTGAGCCTTAGTCTCCTTGCTTTGCAGAAAATAATTATACTCATCTCTTGGGGCTGTTTTGAGGACTTAGGTGGGATAATAGTGTGTAGGAATAGCAGCTATCACATAGCAGGGCCCCAATAAAGTGCTGCTGTTATTAAAACAGTGCATATGTTCTGTGTCCTGTTAGGGTGGTGGTTTGGATTCAGAATTAGCACAGTACTTCAATAAGTGCTTAGTAAGTGTCTGAATGAGCGCAAATGTGAATGAATGAACTCATGAATAGTTCAGGAGTAAGGAGATACTTGGCAGTGCGAGAGAATGGAAGGGCAGCTTTAGAGGCATCTTACAAGAGAGGCATTTTATAAGATAGGTATTTCATAGGAAGAATGAATAGGACTTAGAGACTGAGTATTGGGTAGTGTGAGGACTTGTTTCTGCTTCGAGGACTTTAAATCTGGTTGATGCTCTTGCCATTGTTGATAGAAAAGGAGAAATTCTGAAGGGAAGCTGATTTTGGGGAAATTTTAATCAAAAGAGTATTTTATGGCGCCTATAAATTGGGTGTTACCTGTCTGCTTTTCATTTTAATATTACCGTGTGTGTTGTTCTAAACTGATTCCTTTTATTCCTTTCATATCTACTGTCCTCTTCCTTCTTTTCCCTCCTCTTATCTACAGTTCTTAGTATTCACCTTCTAATGCTTAAACCATATGGAATATATGTGGACTATTCCTTTTAATAGTGAATCTTTGTGTTTTTATAGTTTTTAAAAAACATCAGTCCTCATCATCAATTCACTTCATGTATTTTTTTTAAAGAATCCTGTGTGTACTGTAATATATGCTAAGAATTTATGCATGTACCAGAAATGTATTTCAGGAAGTTATATTTCATTTCTTGAATATTAAGTTATTACCATACATCTCACAAGTGGTACCCCTTTCCACATACACACACATACACACACACAGGAAACAGTTGTTAAACTGTTTAAACCCTAGGCTGTCACTAAAATTACTGAAAGCTAGTGCCCTCCGTAATTTAGAATACAAATTTAGAATACACACTTTCCCATTTAGGGGGATGGATTCTATGATGTTCAAGTTCTTAGGTCTCTTCTTTAAGAAGGAAGACTTGCTCACTTAACTTACTCAGGTGGTTCTAAGACCTTTCTTAATTATGCTTTTCCTCGGTGCCTTGAGGACCTCCAGATTAGGGTACTGGCATTTACAGGTAGCTGACTGCAAAGTAGAACCTTTTGCACTTTTGGGAAGGAATGATTTAAAAACCTGCCTTTTCATTGACCTTCAGA